CCAGCAAAAAGATAAACTGCTAGTCGGTCGACTGTTAAGACAAAATCTTTTTCAAAATTTTTACTCTTCAAAAGAGGCAAAAGCACTCCAGAATGGCCAGGACGAAGCATTTCCCAATGTGCTTTGGGTAGCCTCTCGATGGCTTCCTCTTTCGGGTGTTGTTTAGAAGTGAATGTAGCTGAGGTGGGAAGCAAAAGAGGAAAGTGAACATTGTTTACTGAGAGGCTTTTAGTTTAGAGAAGAGATATACAAAATAGGCTGAGCCTTATATGATTATGTAAAATAAAATGAAATAATCTCACAACTGAAGCAACAGAAAGGGAAATAAGATGGAAAAAACGCAGTAACTTGGAAGAATCTCGAAGGGTTCAGGAAAAATATCGTATGCATTTGTAAATAACTGTGTATTTTAAAGAGCCAAATGATGAGAGTGCAGCAAACGTGAACGCAGCGAAGATGTGGCGTGAAGACCGTGCTCAGTTCGAATTGATCGCCGACAATTTGGTGCGCAAAACATTGTGCCTCCCGCCGAATACTTCTTTGTGATTACGGTTATTGCATTGGATCTCGAGCATAGGCTACAGCACCCAAATCTGGAAATATTTTTTGGAGAGGGCGGGAGAATGGAGGAATATTTTCAGGCACCTTCGTCTTTTTTGATAATAGCAATCAGATTTATTTTATGGCTGAAAAGATATGAAAAACCGAAACATGGAGCCCAGTGAGGGAGCCGAGGGGAGAGGAGGGTAAGAGAGTGGAGGGGGGAGGGGAGGAGATGAACGCTGAAACAAGTGTAGAATTTATGGAAACGGGATTTGGGGCATGCCAAAATCGCTTGAAAGTTGTAATTTACGCTAAAATACCGAGATGCGTCCCCTTCTCATAAAGCAAAAATTTGGGCCGAAAACGAGAGAGGATACGGTTTTTTGAGAAAATGCCCTTCCTGGAATGTGCCTAAATCAAGAAGCTGTGCGGTTTGGATCAAATTTGTGCGACCAGCGAATGTAACCACGTTTTTTTATATGATTTTGTACATTGAATTTGTTTTATGTCGCATAAAATTTCGGCTCGTCGCACTGGCCAAATCCGTGGACTCGCCATCTAGCGAGTATACAGTGTGTACAATTTGTGCTGCTCAAAACAAACCCGAAATATTTGGGTCACATGCAGTTCATAGTCGTTCTGTAACTGCATTGTTCAAAGGCTATTTTTATGCGTTTTTTGCATCTATGCAATGCAGAAAACGCATATTGACGAAGGTTTGTATGTGTCGGTTTTCATCTCAAGACCTACAAAATCGACAGGGCTGAAACTCTGAGGACTTAATCTACATGCACGTAAGGGCCCCAGTCCCCAAAACGAGCGCTCTTACCCGCGTGGTACCCACGTACGAGCCCGTGGAAGTTTTTTGCGGGTAAGTCGCTAACTCGAGACCAGAAAAGCTAGAGAACTAAAATTTTGAGGGAATGTCCCTCGTCTACCTCGTCAGCTCAAAAATGAACCCTTGGTATGCGTGGTATCCACGCACGGGCCCACCAAATTTTTTTCAGGCAAGTTGCTAACTCGAGAATTTGAAAAGCTAGAAGACTGTAACTTTAAGAGGATATTTTCCGTCTACGTAAGTCTCAACGAGCTCAAACCCAGCCCTCGGGTATGAGTGGTACCCTCGTACGGGCCCGCCAAAGTCTTTTTTGGGTATGTTGCTTACTCGGGAAACTGAAAAGTTAGAAGACTGTAATTTCAAGGAGATGTTCCCTGTCCATGTAAACCTCGTTGAGCTCAAACTCAGACACCGGGTATGCGTGGTACCCACGTACGGGCCCGTGAAAGTTTTTTCGAGTAAGTTGCTAACTCAGAAGCTAGAAAAACTAGAAAGCTGGAATTTTAAGGGGGTATTTTCTGACAGTTCTGGCGGCCAGTTTTAATTTGTTTAGCTAGAAGCATTTACTTGAAAAACCGGTGCCGGTAACTACAAAAACTGCGAGGGACTACGCAAAAAAAGCATCTTCGCGCTAGCAGCAGGTGCGTTGGCCAATTATTTTACTTTTATTCATAGGCTCCTCAATTTACCTTTCTATGATGCTGCGTTATCTCTTTCTCTTTACTGTTCCTGCATCCGAGCTCCTTGTGTACTCATCCCCCTCTTCCACTTTGTTTTCAGTTTTTCTCTTTAAAGCAACGTTCAACTTTCTCCAGCCCCTTCGCCTCCCTCCCAGTTAACTATACCCCAGCTCCTTCTTTATTCCGAGTCTCCGCGGCCTAAACCAGCACCACTCCTCTCCTCCTTTCCATTCTCCCC